ATCTATGTTGTTTTCAGCTGTCCAGTGTACACCCCCTAAGGAAATGGCTCATGTTTTCTAGTGTGTTCAGTGCTTTACAAGAGGTGCTTCCAACTCCCAAGGTCAAATTCTGATAGTCATAGCCATGCTGAAGAACACCTTTCTCCATGAAAAGCCTCACTGATTTCATCAGGACTGCTTGCAAAATATAAGAAAGGTCCTTAACAGATAAACAGATAATGGCAATGGAATAGTAGTGATAGGCAAAAGACACTACTGCGCAGTATCATTGCCGGGCACTAACCATGACACAACACTACTGTGCAGTAGGGCTGCGTGAAGCTTCAGTTGCTGATTCAATTCAGCGGAGATTCAGTCTAATTCAGCAGCCACATCTCCAAATCTGAATCAAATCAGGAGACCCTTTAATCTCTCCGAATTGATTCAGTGTTCCGAATTGATTTGGAGAGATTCAGAGTGATTCAACAATTCAGACATAGACACAGCTTTAAATGTTTTTTCTACATACCTCAAGGTACCAGGTGGCTTATGAATGCTGAGATGGTGGGGCAGATGGAGTGTCCCACAGGAGCGCGGGGGGGTCCCCAGTGCACTTGGCAGCGGACCCAAAAGTGGACCAGAAGTGCTGCTGCGGAGCACGCGGGGGACCCTGGCCCCCTTCCTGGCTCAGTGACTGGTGCCTCCTGGGTCTGGGGGGCACCTGGGGTCCCATTGTGGCTGATCACTGAGCCAGAGGGTCATGGGGGGGCCATCTGCTGGGCACGCAGGGGGCCCTCCTGCACTCCTGTGGGACGCTCCATCTGCCCCACCATCTCAGCATTCATAAGCCACCTGGTACCTTGAGGTATGTAGAAAAAACATTTAAAGCTGTGTCTATGGCTGAATCACTGATTCTCTGAATCAGTATCAAATCTTCAGATTCGGATTCAGCCACATTGAAACAGGACAGCGATCTCAATCAACAAAGCAAATCACTGTCCCCTGATTTGGGCCGGATCCGAATTTAATACGGCCTGTTTTGCATACACCTACTGTGCAGTAGAAATGACCTACTGCACAGTAGCTTGTTGCTACTGTGCAATAGCGTTGGGATGGTACTGCACAGTAATGCTGGTTACTGTGCAGTCATTTAGTGCTTTCTTATGCTTATGCAAGTACTAAATAACTGCACAGAAACAACTATGCAGTCCACCACTCATGTAGATGCAGGCTGTAAATTACAAAACCCAGCCTAGAAGTGGGGTACATATTCAAGTAGGGGAGGAAGAAGTGAGCTCTAGGCTGCTGAGCTGGATTGTCACCAATGCCTACAAAGTGACAGATGTGTAGGCTTACCCAAAGTATTTTACGAGGGCGGCAAGTATCATTTTGCAAGTTGAGACACCTAAATAACAATCTCTTCCACAAAACAAAAACATATTCTAAGTAAGTATATATCAGATTATACCACATTTTACAAAGCATTTGCTATCTTTAAGAACAGATACTGGATAAGTATCTGGCAGGACATGCCACCTACGTATCCTGTAGATCCATACCACCTCTCAACAGCGCTAGGGTGAAGGCTGCTCCCTCTGGGCTTACTACCTACCAAAACTGATGTAACAGAGCTGTGTGATACTGGGTGCCCAGCAACACAATTGCTGTTTTGGGAGAGCTTTTTGGTTCATGACTAGCACTCCATCAAAGCAGTCCCCTTATATCCATTCAACAAGGCAACATATGTGGAAGGGGGGTGGCGTGCTCCATTGTAGTACCCTCTAGCATGGTCCAGAGGTGACACAGACATGTCCTACAACAGGGGACCAAACCTTTTGGCATGTGTGGCACAAATCAGCTCTACACCCTCCCCAAAGGCCACTCTGACTCTGTTCCTCTGCCCAATCCACTACTCTGCTTTATGCTCTGTACTCTATATTCCCTGGCTGATTTCCTGCTCTGCTCTCTGCTTTCTTCCCTATCTGCTGCTGTGTCCTTTCCTTGATCTGTTATGTGCTACACACAGAAGCTACCTATGTGCCACAGACTGGCCACCTACAAGATGCTTGCCTAGTGTCTAAAAATAGTAGGACCTGTGTAAAATGTGATAAAATCTGGTATGTACTGACTCAGAACATGCTTATGTTTGAAGAGATTGATTAATCATTTTCTGCATCTGCAAAATACTTGCCTCTTTTGTAAAGTATTTTGGGTGGATACACCTACATTACTGTCTCTGTGCAGGTAATGGTGATAATCCAACCTCAGCAGCACAAAGCTCACTCCTGAATATTTACCCAGCTTCAAAGACATGTTTTGCAATATGTCTGGAGCTCTATGCTGCTAAAAATACATTGTTACCAGTACTTGAGCCAGCTAGGTATTAGGGCTGTGCAAAATTTCGCCAACTGTTTTATTTCAAAGCTGTTTCGACATGTTTCGAGTTCAAAACAGTGAAATTGAAACAAAACAAAAGGCTTCAAAACAGCTTCGAAACAAGGGCACTCGAAATGTTTGGAAACTTTCCAAACATTTCGAGTTTCAAATCCCAGCTTGCTTGCAGCTAAACAGAAACTAAGGAGAGGAAGCGGGAAAGGACTGCTCTGATGCCGTTGAAACTCCAGTGGCACCCTGCTGAAACCCAACATGCAGATCTGGGGGCCTGTGTCCCCCAGGAAGAGCTGGGGAAATGGTCAGAAAGCTGGGGAATCAAACCAGGAGCTAGGGGAATGGTCAGGTCCTGGAACATTCCCTAGTTCCCGGTTGGATTCTCCAGCTCCTTGATCTTTCCCCCAGCTCTCTGATCATTTCCCCAACTCTTCCCACAGCCTGCGCCTAGCACCGGGAGAGACTGATGCTGCCACTGGCCCCAGGGAGCAGCAGCAGCCTCCTGTCATCCACCGCACAGATCTGGGGGCCTTGAACCTCCCAGGTGGAGCCTGTCACAGTCCTGCAGCCCTCCTGAGGCCCCCAGATCTGCATGTGGGATGACAGCAGGCTGCTGCTTTCGGCAAGTGATAAGTTTTGCTTTGAACAGTTTGAGGTACAGTTTCCCAGGAAACCCTTCACTTATCTCCTTGAAACTTGGCAAGCTTCAAGCCCTCAGAAGGGGATACCATCCCTGCAATTTTCTTCCAAATTAGGCAAGAAATGACAAAGATATAGGCATTTTCATGATTCCCCATTATATAGCCTATGGGCAAAACGTCAAAACGCATCGAAACAGTGTCGAAACAGCAAAACAGCTTTGACTAAATAAAATGGAACAGCACTTTGCAATAGTGAAATGAAACACTGTCCCCTTGAAATGGTGAAACGGAAGTCAAAACGAAACAGCTGTTTCGCACAGCCCCAGTAGGTACGTCTGCATTACAGTCACTGTCTGCAATGTAGACATACCCTTTGAGATCTGCTGCAGAAAAGCACAATATAGGAGCGATGTTATTATTTTTTCAAGAATATACATGCACATGAGTGTAATTTTTGTACAATTCATACAAGCTTCTTGTGTTACCTTAGACAAACTACTTAAACTATCCTGTGCTTCAGTTCTTTCCTGTTAAAAGATGTCTATAGTTTTCTACTTCACAGGATTATTACAAAAAAAAAAATCTATTAGTGACTGCACAGAAGTCAGAAATGATCATAATTGGTATTACTGAGAACCCGGGGTCACCCAATGCACCAGTAAGGAGTCTTTCTATGCCTGTGTTGAAGTTAGTGAAAATGTTACCAGTTACTTTCTTATTGGCTAGTGGACTATTGCTACATTGTTGACAACTGATACTGCTGTCTTTTACAGGAAAGGCACCTACAAATGACGAGCTATTTGTGTTGACAGGAAGAAGTTAAAGGGTGGAAACTAAGGTGTTACCCACAATTTGAAGGACCTGCATGTTTCAGGTGGGGGTGGTGGATGCCACATTCTTCTGGGCTAACTGTTCAACATGGGGATGCTTTTTTGCCACATTGCCATTGTTGACAATGTATAGCAAACTTGAATTTGTCTGGGCTAGAAGACTTGAATTATACCCAAATGGCACACCCAGCTCCAACGGGCTGCCTGTCACCATGTTCTTTGCAAAGCTGTCAGTGGCAGTATGTTGGCTTAGACATAGACTGTTTTGTAAAAAGAAATACACTGGTGGGAAATTAGGTCTAGACAAAACTACAACGTTGCATTTATATAACCTCTGTCACTAGAGCAGATTCAGTATTAGATTGGTGTTTAACTCATTAGTTACCAATAGGCATTACACAATTATCTCCAGACCCTCAAAACTATTTGGATATTGCAGTTCCCAGTTGCAAGGTACACTGCCATGTAGGCCAGTCCAGAGCTTTCCTCCCAGGAGCTAGAAGATGTCTGTACAATCCAGCTTCCGGGCTATTTTTCTATGACGAAACATTTCTTCTCCTAGAAATGAATATCTGTACACAGCCTAGATGTGTTCTGGACATGCTTAAGGATTTAGGTTCTGACCGTGAACTGAGTTGGGAAAATGTTTATTTTGTGAATCTTTCTTTGGGGTCTCAAGGATTTTTACTTCAATTAGAGCTATGAGCAATTCATTAACAGTAGGGTGGCTTTATATTGAATAGTCTAAGAAACGTCACAGGTTTACAAGCTTCACACAAGATACTGAAGAAATGTTAGAACTGTGGCATTATTACAAAGCAGCATGTAACACTGGAAAAGTGTCTTTGATAATAAATCAAGCATTTGTCATATACAGTGAGTGAATATCACAGTGCCAGTGATAGTATTTCTTTTAAAAGACTTATTTTTTATGGCTGGGACAATGTTTACTCCTTTAGAAAAATTTTCATGTGATTTCACCCCCCAGCTAAAAAAAATAATAATTTCATGTGACCCTCCCCCTTCTTCTCCCCCCAGCTAAAAAAAAAAAAAAGAGAAAAAATCACTAGTGAAAAAAAGGAAGTAGGTGTTGCAATACAGTCTATGAGCTCTTATCATACCACTGCAACAAAAGATTCATTCACTCAGACAGCAATGTTTCAGGTAATCGGATGTTGTTGATATTCAGGTAAGATATTAATCTTTTGGCAATAAGTACCTTATAGAAGTAATACTTATTCCTCCTCCTATAATCAAGCAATAAATGCTGGGAATGTTTGATTCACAGTGCTAGATTGTAAATGTTCAAGTGATTACTATTTTTTGTATTTCAGTACAAAAAGCCATATCCTAAGGTCCTTACTCAGAACTTTTTATACTGTTCTTGATCAGGCAGACTCCCCTTGAAATCAAATGGTTTTTGCTAAAAACCACTGCTTGAGGATATAGCATCTTTGGATTTGGTCCACAGAATGCAAAATATTTGCTTTTACTCATGCAACATAAATTCTATAGGTATGTACTTGTTCTTGCGAGTACTATGACATACGTGTACACATAAACAGTAATTCAAGCACTTGTTGAGCTCCTGTGGGATGTACAGGATTTCTAGTGATCTGTACGTATCATGGGATTTTTTTTTTTTACTGTGCATGCCCACCAGAAACTTCCATATGTACTGAGTTATGTGCAGGTACTCTAAATCCGTGCTCCTCAGCTGTATGGTCTGTGGCCAGCATCTTGCTCAAGAGACCCTCTACTATTCTTTAGGGCCACAGGACACCTTGTTTTACATCTTATATTCAGGTTGCCAAGGAGAACAAAGTATGATGTTGCCTGAAGTTCCTTACTGTGATTCATATTGTTGCCAATGGGCCTGCCAAAGTTGGGAACCACTAGTTTAAATAAAGCACAGTGTTCAAAATTTGTGGTTCTTTTAAACATCAAAAAGAACAAACTATTTTTGTTTGCTTGCACTGATCCAGTTCATTACTAAGTAACTGTTATATATCCCAGGTAATGCAGCACTGCCACATCATTGCTGTTATTCATTTCACTGACTGAACAGGCATTAAAGGATTAAAATGCAGTATTATTTTTAATGTTTTTTAATAATTTTACAGTGTTTAAAATGATATGAATACTTTGTGTGTGTATGTAGTACTTATGCCATTTTGGGGTACCATAAAATAATAAAATACAATTATTAAATATTACTTTTATATGATTAGTATATCATAATCAAGTGTGCTGATGCATATTCATTGCTATATATTAATATAATTAAGACAAGTGTTAGAATGTTCAAAACTGTTTAGTGATCAACAAAGATCACAAAAAATAATGCTGCTGTTAATCTCAGACATTGCAGAAGTTTCTTTTGGGTTTCCAGAATCCTGAGAGTTTTCTCTGTGATCCTTCAGCTTATTGTCCTCACTCTATCCAGTAAAACCAAGCTCACTAGACTTGAGAGCATATAACAGTAGGGTCTTGTCCTGTTCCAGCTGAACTTAGTAGCAAACCCTCCCTGAATGTAATGAGAGGAGAATCAGACAGGTCATTTCAGATTTTCTAGTGAGCTCTTAGTTCTCCTTTAGCAAATTAAGTCTTTTTAGTCCTTTGTCATGTGTAAATACAAATTTTATTTTACGTGATACTGAATAACTTTGAAAGGAGTTCCCTTTTAAAAAGTTGCAGAAGCTTGGAGAATCACTTTCAGCTATTTAGAATCCAGGAAAATAAAATGTGTTCAAAGTGTTCCTTCCAATCAAAGGTTGTTGTAAATGATTTTTTTCAGTTGACCAGATGCTGCATAAATCTGTTTGGCCTCTGGCCTCCTGCATCTATTTGCCCCCTCAGGAGGATTACTTGTTAGTTTAAATTAATCCACATTAGGCCACAGAACTTTTATTGTGTTTTCCTTGAGTTTCTATTATTCTTTTGAGAAGGCGACTGACAAATTATACAAAAAAGTCAGAAGCTTTCTCTAGAATCTTTACTTTGGCATAGGACTGAAGAAGGTTCTGATATTCAATTTGAGGGTATTCTCTTATTTTCTGAGCATTTCAGTGTCTCAATCTGGTCTTTTTACTTTTTAGCATGAGTAGGTATTTCCTAATAAAAATCTGTGAATCATAGATTTGTTTCTATAAAAAAGTGTCCCCCCTTTTTTTTCCATTCAGTTGGGGGGGGGGAGGGGTTAAAACATGGAGTGTGTATTATCACACATACATATATGGTGTGCTTGTATTTTGCTTCTTCCAGTTTATGCCCAGCAGGTACTTGTTTGATTTTTATTCTGAAAATTGTTTCAAACTATACACTGGAAATGTGAATAGCTTAAGTAGCAAGGGACCGAGCCAGGGAATTCCCAGTTCTGCTGTCAATGCCTCAAAGAGGAAGAATCAATCAGGCAATCAAACCAGGCAACTCTCTGGAAGTTTTTGGCCCACGGTTTCCTTGGGAAATGATGATTTATTCAACTCAAAGTATTTTTCTGGAACCATCTTCAGTTTGATAGATTTTCATTGAATCCAAGTTCTAATAAAACTCTACAGGGATTCTTTCAGACTGCCCCAGGGCCAGAAACACTCATACCTCTTAGTTAGTGCAACTGGTGGGGCTGCTCTAGGGTGATAGATGCTGGACTCCCGAGGTGGTCCACCTGGTGTTTGGTCTGTGCTGGAGCCTCGAGGTAGTGGGATGGCCATGGAGCCAAAGACCCTTGAAGGCAATCACTTCTCTGAAGTAGAAAGCTTGGCCAAGGCTCCCAAGATCCTTGCTGTGCAGCCAAAAGTCTGGAAGCCTTGGGAGTCCCAGCTCTGCCCAGGGCTTACACCACCTAGCTCCATCAGGGAATGTGGAAGCCCTGAAGATAGCAGTGGAGCCAGGCAGCTGGAGGTAGGAACTTCAGGTTTCCTCCTGTAGGACCTGGACTCAGAGCTTGAGCTTGTCATTTTGGGGAAGTCCACAGGGCAGGAGCCACAGATCCTGAGTGCCTCAGCAGTCTCATGGACAGGGATCCTGGTTTTATCTGATTTTCAAAAATCCCCAATTTTTGGTTTAAAAAGTAACCCCAAATCCACATTTTCCCATGATTTAAATGGAACACCACTAATATATAGATATGTATATAGTGGCATTTTATTTTGATCATGGCAAAATGTGGGTTACTTTGTTTTTAACCGAAAATTGCGGATTTTTTTAACTCAGAAAAAACCAGGATCCCTGCTCATGAATCTGACAATCCTGTTAATTTAAAGGCTCTAGTAGAAGTGAAAATGACAGTATAACCACGTCACCCAACTGCAGCAGAGACTGAGGAGCTCTTTATTTTAAGGAACACTTTGTTTCAGTAATTCCAATATGAGCTTTTCTCAGAATTTCCTCTTTGTGGGAAATTTTAAAAAGTGTTTTTGTTCAGTCTGATTGTAAAGAAACCAGATTGAAAAAGTAACACAAAATTTCCCAGCAACTTTCCAAGCCAGCTCTGCTGAGGTCATACTTTAGATTCTAGTGCAACACAAAGCCAGTGACTCGGCCCTCAGAGGAAGAGAATCAGAATCAATGTGGGACATGATCCTTTGCTTTCCTTTTTCGAAATAGCAAGGGTTCACTTCACTGGACATAGTGGATTTTGTGCATGTCTGTGGCTGATTTTTGCAGGATAAATGTGCTGGGACTTCATATCATCAAAACAACTGAATTTGGGATTTTCCTAAAAGAGGGAGCAGAGGAATCTACCAATTAAATGAGATGGAGCAGGTAATAATGGCCAAAAATAACATCAATACTTGTTTTCCTTCATTTCAGGGACCCAGGTGTTAGCGACTCTTTCCAGTATGTTATAGAAGTATATTCTGTGTTTTGATGAAAGCAAAACTCTTTGAAGTGTCTACTCATAAGGAAGAAATTAGAGCAACTAATTTATAATAGCATATGTCTATTTAAATACAGCAATCAAATATTGTATGATTTTGTAGTGTGTTAGGAATAGCTTAACATGAAGTGAACACTTGTTCACAAACATGTATGCATCTCTGATTCAGTTAGTCTATAAGGTGCATCTCTAGCCTGTCTTCATTACAAACTATGGAATGTGCACATATACTATTGTGTAATTTAATCAGGGATTAAAGTGACCTAGCAGGTCATTTCAGGATCAAAATTCTAGGTATCAGGCTGTCTTCACTAGAAGAAAGGTGAAATAGCTATCTTGACCAAGTTATCTCAATGTAAAGTCCTAATGGAGAGAAAGAAGTGGTTGTTTTTACCTGAATATATTTAACCAAGGTCAGCATTAAGTAGGGCCCAACTCAGGTGGATTTAGCAAGTTAAAAATGATTTGTGCCTTGTCTCCTCTAGAGGAGTTTATACCACAAAAAGAGGTGTTTTCTCAGTAGAGACAAATTCTCAACTGTGAATCGAGAGTGTACTATATATGGAAGCAAGTGGACTTCACATTCGTCATCATAGTGATTCTCCATCCACTTCATATCTTATACATGTGTATGAAGCGGATGTGAATTCTATTAAATAATGTGGTATACTCACTTTGTAGAGTATACCACTACAGTGGCTTGGCTTCACTTGGAAAAAAGTTACACTGGTTTAACTACATTGATTTTTTTAATTGATCTAAATAAACTGGTGCAAGCCATTTATGCAGACATGCTTAAATTAGCTTGAAACTAGTTTGAAACTGGTTTAAGGTGGGAGGCTAGGTCAGGGGTTTCTATCAATTTAAACTGGTCAATTATACATACATTTAGTAGTGCAGCTCTTTTAGTATGAATAGGTATTTCCTAATAAAAATTTGTGAACTGTAGGCCATGTCCACATGAGCATGGACAGTTGTTTCCCCAGGGACAAGCAGCAGTGGCATAGCAGGGTACCCTGGGCAGGGTAGGGGAGCCTGGGGCCAGCAGCTGGGTAACCGCTGCAGGAACTAAAGCCAGGCCAGCAGCTGGAGTGTGGCTCAAGCTGGTCACGCCCTGGTTTGGGTGGCGCATGCTGCCGCCACGTGTACCACCCCTTTTTTTTTGTGTGGGTTTTTTTTTGACCCTGGGATCTCCTGGGTTCACAAAATCCCCCCGAACTACAAGGTAGCAGCACAGGGAATGACTGAATGTGCAAAGTGTGGCACCACAGATGGGTCTGCAGCACCACATACCACACGTCTGTGCTCATCTGGATGCGACCATAAATTTGTTTCTATAACAAGGTGTCCCTTAAGGCCCTGAAGGGGTTTGACAGGGCATCTGGGAAGGAGTTTGTGTGAATTGTTTTTGGGAATAGTGGAGCCACCCTTGTGTAGCTGAAAGGATGACTAAGGGTAGATTATCTTGCAATAGAGAGTATTTTGCAATTATCTAGTTCTGCTTTTCTCTATGGCACACAGGTGACGTACAGCAGAGAAGTTTCCTAAGAGCACTTTCTGTTCTTGTCAGCAAAAAACATGCAGCAAGAGGAGAGGCAAACTACACCCTTTCTCCTGCACATGAAATAGGGTTACAAGTTTAATCATGGAATCAACATAATGTAATGGGGCATTAGATCTTTTCATCTCCATACTGCATGTAAGGCCCTATTTACTCCATCTTCTATGGCTATTCCTGACAGTATACTTTTAATGGTTTATTATTGGTCCATGCATTCATGCTAGGGGTAAAACAAGGTTTTCATTACAAGCCAAGTTTTGAATAAAGGTTTACACCCACCAGGATTCTCAGAGTCCAGCAAAAGCAGGGTTTTACTTTCCAGCTTCCAGGGAAGTTTACTGGAAAGAATGGCCTAGAATTGCAGACAGACCTCAGTCCACCAGTCCTGTGAGTCTGAACGTGACTTGGCACAGTTTCTCTCATCACAAGACCTCTGCAGAAGACCTCTTAGTCAGAACAGTCATTTTTTATTCTGGATCCTCTGTTCTCCAACACTTCTTTTGAATGGCTTTCCTTTGACGGGAGGACTTGTCAGGACTAACCTCAAAGCCTGACAGCTTGTCCAGCTCCACTGTAAGGCAGATACTTTGCTGCCTACACAAAGAAACTCAGTAATCCTTTAATGTCCTTTCTAGAGGCCAGGTATTGCCACTGTAGAATGAAAGCAATTGTTCTTTCTGCTGACCAAAACTGGCAACTCTTTCATTACCAAAGAAGATGCCAGAAGCTCTCCCACTTATTCTTGGAAGGCATAAACCTTTCAAGATTGGAGTTTAAATGCTATTTCCACATCAGCATTGTATTCAGTCCAGAACTGAGGGTGGGAATGAGATATGTATTTACAGTTATTAAATGACTAATACAGAAAAGTTCTCTTTGAACACTATTGTAAAACCCCACAGAGAAGGGCAACAAAAGAGAAACCAACCATAGAATGTACCTTGTCATAGTGGTTTTTGCCTGTACTACAAAAGAGAATTAACTAGACATTCTTATATCAGGAGCAGTTTTGGCATAATATGAATTTTCTTTGAAACCACGAGTTCGCTGTATTGGTTGGACATTCTGTTTTCAGCCATTGTAGAAATCTTACAGGTGCTGCTGTTATATGGTCATAATAGCACCATCTATTGCTAGATATGGTCATAATAGCACTGCCTATTGCTAGATATACAGGGTTCCAGTTTTCCCTTTGATTAAAATAGAAAATTGCCAAATCCAAACTGAGTGGTAGTTGAGTTTCTATTTTCCTGGACAACCAGTTCTGGTGGCCCCTAGGCAGTAGGCCTGTGCGAGTAGGCAGCTATTCGATCTGGCTTCAGATCAAGCCACTTCAGATGCCAGCAGTGCGATTCAGAGCTCCAGACGGGGTTCCCACTTCAATCCGGCCGAAGCGACTCCAGAGCTTTGGAGCTGCCTCGGAGATACGGCCATAGGGTATAATGGGGAATCAATTAAATATCTATAACTTTGTTGTTTTTTGTCTGATTTAGATGAAACTTGCAGAACTGGTAGCCTCTTCTGAGATCATGACATCTGCCAAGTTTCAAGAAGATCAGTGCAGGGGTTCAGGAGAAACTGCACCCCAAATTTTTGAAAGCAAAACTCATGTCACTTGTATGTGTTACAACACAGGGGGGTCCAAACTGCAGGAGTGGTAGCCCCTGCTTAAGCCACAAAACCTTCCAAGTTTCAAGGTGATAGGTGCAGGGTTTTGGGGGAAACTGCACCCCAAATTCATGAAAACAAAACTCATGTCATGTGTGTAATACCACAGGGGGGTGAAAACTGCAGGGGTAGTAGCCCCTGGTGAGGCCACAAATCCTGCCAAGTTTCAAGAAGATAAGTGCAGGGGTTTGGGGGGAACTGCACTTCAAGCTGCTGACAGGCAAAACTCGTGACATGGGTGACACTATGTGTGTTAAGGCACAGCAGGGTGAAAGCTGCAGGTATGGTAGCCCCTGCTGAGGCCATGAAGCCTGCCAGCTGTCGAGGAGAATGGTGCAGGGCTTCTGAGTTATGGGTTCCTGCACCCCTAGCTGCTGACAGGCAAAACTCGTGACATGGGTGCTTGTGCAACTGTCTGTCTTGGGCCACTGGGGGTTAACTACTACAGGCTTGGCTGCTAAGCTACTGTGTTACCAGTTACCAATTAATCATGATTCGCTCAGGGACCAGCTCAATACACAGTACCTAGCTACTACATAATGAGCTAACAAGCATGAGTTAACACCTACAAAACCACAGACTAAGGAGAGGAAATAATCAATACAGACAATCTACTGCCCCAAGACAGAGACAGTCAGTTGCACAAGCACCCATGTTATGAGTTTTGTCTGTCAGCAGCTAAGGATGCAGGGCCCCAGAACACCCCTGCACCGAGCTCCTTGACAGCTGGCAGGCTTCGTGGCCTCAGCTGGGGCTAGCAGGCCTGCAGCTTTCATCCTGCTGTGCCTTAACACACACAGTGTCACCCATGTCACGAGTTTTGCCTGTCAGCAGCCAGAGGTGCAGGGCCCCAAAAGCCAGACTCCCCCTGCACCTATCTCCCTGACAGCTGGCAGGCTTTTGGGCCTCAGCAGGGGCCACCACCCCTGCAGTTTTCAACCCGCTGCGCCTTAACACACAGAGGGTCATCTATGTCACAAGTTTTGCCTGTCAGTAACTTGAAGTGCAGTTACCCCCAAGCTCCCAGGAGGAGTTATGGTGGTGACTTGATCTTAGTGCTAGCCACACTTTGCTTGAGGAAGGCATACTGTAGATAAGATGGAATGTAATCAAGTAACAAAAGATTGGATGGGAGCTTACGCCAGAGGCAGTTGAATTAATATTGAACAGGGAAAATTAAGTCTGATGTTTCCTAGTTTTTCAGTGCTGACTTTGCAACCTTCAAGTTCTTTTAATATAATTGTATATACAGTTGACTCTTGACTTCTTTCCAGGTTTTCCTGCCAATTTTAAACAAGTTATCTCATGGCCCGCAATTGTATGTTTCAGCTCCAGCATGGCATCTGCCTGAGAAGGATTTCTAGATATAATGAATCACATTCATATGTTCATTCCCCAGCCAGTGAATCTGCTTGAGGATTTAACTTTCGGATTACTTTTATCATATTTTTAATGTCTAATTCTGAAAGACAAGGTTCTTCTTCAGTGGTAGTGGTCCATGGATAAACTGAATGAGTTTCAGTTGCTGGGAGTTTTGTCCATTGATTTAGTGCAGAATCAATTTAACAGAATTTTTTGTGAAGGGAATTCTTGTTAGAACCTACTAAAGTTAGTATGGGTCTTCCATAGTATGACCTCTTCTGATTCATTTAATAC